CAAGAGCAATGCGTAGGTGATTGATAATGGTTAAATTTTGGAAATACTTTGGTCTGACATCTTTCATTGTCTTTTAAGGTCAAAAAAATCATGGTGACATAACACACACACGCACACACACAAAGACCAAGGTAAAACAAAAATCACCCAGAGATGACTATTGTTAACAATTTGGTGTGTTATTTTTTCATTCTTTTCCCTGCCTATTTTCAAACAACTGTTTAAAATTTTTGTGCCCATTTTATACAGCTTTGAATCTGACTTCTCCCTCCACTTAAAACATGACATGAGAAAATACTCACATAAAACTTTTTGAAAGTGCCACCTTAATGGCTGCAAGGAGCACCGCATGGATGCCCCATAATCGAACCAACCCCCATTAGCTGAGGGTTTAGGAAGTTGCCAGTGTTTTGCTCTTATCTAATGATGGGGATCATACTTCAATTTGCAACCTCTGTCAGAACTATGATTATTTTCTTTAGATAGGATTCTAGAAATAGAACAACTGAGGAAAAACATTTTTTGTTTTTTCAACTCCCTCTTGCAACATTGCCTTCCAAAAAGGGACTTGGCCTTCACCGAAGTTCTTTGGCAGGTAATAGAGGTGTTCCCAGCTCTCTGCAAGGCTAAGGAGTGCGGGAAAGTGTGCCGGAGTGTTCCCTGAGAGTTGCTTGTATGCGTCATGAGGAAAATGTGTTGAGGAGAGGAGAGCTTTTTGACGACCGAGCACGCACGCAAGAAAGGGAAAAGAAGCAGGCAGAACCGCCCAACACGACCCCGGAACGAACGGGCCCGCCCAACCGACACGGCCGCAAGAAGACAAGACAACCACGCAGAACGACGACCGAACGGACCCCTACCCCCGGGGCCAAGACACAAGCAGCACGCCAAGACACCACACCACGACGCGCCGCACCCAGACTGCACAAGACTCACGAACGCCAGGAAGAAGAACAAGCAGAAAGAAAGAAAGACGGGAAAAAGCAGAAGATCAGAGACAGGACGGAGGGAACAGAAAGAAAGACACTTGGAGCATCCACCCAAGAAAGAAAGAAAGAAAGAACGCCCCGCGCTGCCCGGGCCCCGCGCGCCGCGCACTCACCTCCGCCGTACATCTGGCACAGGTAGGGGAAGCGCCACACGTTGCCCAGGCCCACGGCGTACGAGATGCAGGCGAACACGAACTGCAGCGGGTTGGCCCACTGCGGCCGCGCCTTCTCCATGGCCGCGCCGGCGCTCGGCTCCCGGCCCGCGGCTGTCCGTCGGCTGTCGCGGTCCGCCCCGGGCTCGGCCTGCGGGTGGCCCCGCGCCTCCGCCGCCGCGCGCCGCCAGCCCGCTTTTTAATTGCTAATCTCATTAACGGCGCACCTGCGGGAGAGGCGAGGCTGGTAAATGGATGACGGCGAGCCCCACCCCGCCCCGCCGCCGCGCCGGGCAGGCGCCCGAGATTGCGGGGTACAGGGCGGCGCCCCGGGGGACCCCTCCGGCTTGGAGCGGCCTTTGCGCCGCTGCCCTGCTGAGCCCCTGGGAGCAGTCAAGTCCCCTCAGCCACGTACCCTGCATTCACCCAGTGCCTGCTGTGTGCCAGGGTGGTCTGGGGACATGGCCATGAGGGACACAGACATCCCGGCCCTCCTGGCGCTGGCATTCTGGGAGAGGGAAACGCTTAAACTGCGCTGGATGCAATGCCCCATTTGCAACTATTTTTGACATGCAGGAAGGACAACTTCGTATGGTCCAACCTAGTCCATATATAATACAGTGGTCCCCAACTTTTTGGCACCAGGGACTGGTTTTCACGGAAGGCAATTTTTCCACGACGGGGTGGTGGTGGTGGGAGACGGTTTCAGGGTGATTCCAGTGCGTTACATTGACCGTGCGGGATCTAGGGGCGCAACCTAGATGCCTCGGTCTCCTCTGGGGCTCTAAGGCCACGGCCAGCTGACAGCAGGCCGAGCTGACGCGGTGATGCCAGCGGTGGGGAGCGGCTGTAAACAGAGATGAAGCCTTGCTTGCTCAGCTCCTGCTGTGCAGCCCGGCTCCCAACAGGTCGCCAGCGGGTCCCAGTCTGTGGCTCCAGGGTTGGGGACAGAGAGAGGCAAGGAAGACAGCTAAGGCAAAGTAAAGGGGTTAAAAGTTCTAGGTGGTGGTCAGGGTGGTCAGGGAGGGCTTCTCCAAGGACACCTGACATCGGCCCAGGGACTGGAAGGTGTGACAGACCTCCCGTCTATCCCTACCCAAAGGAAAAGCTATCCAGGCTGTCCCACTTCTCTTATCTCCAGCAGCCCCGCCCTGTGCCCTGCTGGTGGGTTTGGGAAGCAGGTTTTGAACCACTGCTGTCAGGGACTCTACTGGTCAGGCCAGTCTGGAGACCAGAGATTCGACTCATTAGGTGAGGGCTGGGACCTAAGAAACCTCATAATTCTTTTCTTTTCTTTTTTCCCCTTCCTTCCTATCTTCCTTCCTTCTTCTTCCTTCTCCTTCTTTCCTTCCTTTTTCCTCTCTTGTCTTCTTTCCTTCTTTCTTCTTCTTTCTTTCTTTTTGCTTTCTTCTTTCGTTTCTCTTTCTTCTTTCTCTTTCTCTCTGGTCTCTCCTCTCTCTCTCTCTCTCCTCCTTATGACTGCTCTGCTTTCTTCTCCTTGACAGAGTCTCATTTCTGTTGCCAGGCACCAGTGCCATGCATCTAGCCCTCGCTCACAGCACTCAACTCCTGGGCCCAAGCGATCCTCCTGCCTCAGCCTCCCGAGTAGCTGGAACTATAGGCATGCACCACCATGGCCGGCTAATTTTTTCTATATATTTTTAGTTGTCCAGCTAATTTCTTTCCATTTTTTTAGTAGAGACGGGGTGTCACTCTTGCTCAGGCTAGTCTTGAACTCCTGGGCTCAAACAATTCGCCCGTCTCGGCCTCCCAGAGTGCTAGGATTACAGGCATGAGCCACCTTGCCCAGCTGAAACCTCATATTTCTATCAGTCCCAAAACGTGATTTGGTTGACAGCCCAGTGCTTTGTCTGGTTTGTATCCCAGCTCTGCCACTGACTTAGCTGTGTTACCTTGGATAAGTCACTTAACTTCTCTGAGTCTCTGTTTCCCCCTCTATAATGGGAACAGTCATCTCCCCTTCCCTCTTGACCCAGAGGAAGGGCTCATGTGAGAATTGGGAACTTAGCTTACTACCGTGTTTCCCTGAAAATAAGACCTACCCATAAAATAAGCCCTAGCAGGATTTCTAAGCATTTTCGCAATTTAAGCCCTACCCTGAAAATAAGACCTAGTGACGGGCGTGGCTACACAGCGTATCTGCACAACCCATGCATTTCATCGCGGAGCAGTAAAGAAGACGAGCAGCCCTTCTCATCTGCCCCATGAGAGCTCTCTTGCTCCACATGAGAGATTGGGGCCAATGATTCTAAAGGAAATAGAGTTGCAAGAAATTCAGGATGGAATTTGGGGTTTGGAGAGTGATGATGATGTTCCAGAAGAAGATGACTCAATTAACTACATTTGAATAAATGTAGATTGTTGTACCGTACTTAACAAAAAATAACACATCCCCTGAAAATAAGCCCTAGGGGGTCTTCTTGAGGAAAAGTAAATAGAAGACCCTGCCTTATTTTGGGGGAAACACGGTACCTGGCACAGAATGAGTGTTCAATAAAGAGGCCATTCTAATTGCAAGTCCCCAGTAGGCTGAATAAATGAATGCATAACACATTAAATAAGAGAATATTAACAACACACTTTAGACAGTGCCTGGTACATAGTAAGAAATAAGAAAATGCTAAATACATAAAATTAAAAAGAGATAAAAAGCAGAGTTGCTAGTGGAAATCTTTCATGGACCCAAATGACTACAGTACTCTAGGACAGTTCCTTGCTGGACTTTCCCTGGACTTCCTGCCTGGCTTGTTGCAGAGGAGAAAGGTGGGTGTAGCGAGAGAGGTGGAGGCTCTCTCAGACATACTACCTGGCCTGGAACTTTCTACCTCCAAAAAGCAAAGCAGGAAAAAAAACCCACAACACAGCAGGAGAAACTATGTTGTATATCTAGACAATGTTTTTCCTGCCCTTTGCCTCCTTCCCAAAGGAACCTACCATCCTGGCTTCTATCATGGTTGGGTTAGTTTTACTCACCTTGACCTTTTTGAAAATGGCTTCATTTGCTTACAGTTGTCTGTGGGATGCAACCATGTTCTAGAGTGTAGTTAGTTGTAGGTGGCTCTTTCTCACTACAGTGTGGTTGGCTACGGTGTCAATATACTCCAGTCTACTACAGGTGGACCCTGGTGTCATCTCCAGTCTGGGCTATCACGGATATAAGGGACATTATAGTGCATGTTCTTCCGTGGATGAATGCACTCATTGCTGGGGACTTCTGGGCCAGAGGACAGGCGTGTGTTCAGCTTATGGATATTGCCAGACTGTTTTCCAGAGTGGTAATACCCGTTTGCATGGCAGTACCGGTTTCCACTCCCTTGGAGTGGTGGCCGCTCTGCATCCTTTCCAACACTTGTCTTTCTGTTACCAAAGTTCTACCCAGGCTTGTGGGTGTGTAGTGACAGTTCACTGTGCTTTTCGATTTGAATTTCTCTGATGACTAATAAGGCTGCAAACCTTTCCATGTGCTAATTGGGCCACCTAGATACCTTCTTTCATGAAGTGGCTGTTCAAATTTTTTGTCAGTTTCTTTATTGGGTTTCTGTCTTTTTACGTTTGTGGTTTCTTATTCTGGGTTATGGGCCCCATGTCATTTTTTGTATTACATATATTTTCATTTTGTGGGTTGCCTTTTTATTCTATCAGCGGTACCTTCTGATGAAGAGACATTCTTAACTTTAACAGGAGTCCAATTTAACAATCTTTTCCTTTAGTTTTTTAAATTTTATTTTGGCATGTCTGGTTTAGAAATCTTTGCTCCTATCAACTCCAAGGCATGAAGCATTACTTAGGTAATTTAAACCCTGCAAAATAAGTACTCAGCGTCCATTAGATAAGGCTGCATCCAGCCAGCCCACCAAAGGACTTGGCTTCTTAAGTGAATGGCAGTAGCAGAGCAGCATTTTCTTACGCTGGGTCCCTGACCTCCGATTTGATGGGGCTGCCTTTTTAATGTTGTTCAATCATGTATACAGAAGGCACGTTGCTGTCTCCAGCTATCTGCTTGTATGTTCTTGTTCTCATAAATGAGTTTTCACTACACAGTGCCTAGCTATGCAGTGACATTCGGGAACTGGGCACCTTGGAGAGATGCCCAGCTCAGTGGCCTGTCACCTGGAACATGAAACTGTGTGGTCTTTGATGGTTTGATTGAGGCAAGGCCTCCTTTAATTCCCTACCCCAGGGATGAGGCCAGCACCTCCCTCCATTCACACTGCTACACTCCCTGGGAGCCCCTACACGGAGCTTTGGGCAAAACAAAGAATCACCCAGATAACCCCATGACAGGACTAAGTCAATGCAAGTGGGCGGATGCTCAAGGTCCCTGGTAAGGTCACTGTACCTTCCCGAAACCCATTTTACACTCTAATCCGCCAAAGCCAGTTGCATTGCTGGGGCTGCTACCGTGGAGAGGACAGGTCTAGGAAGCATGGGTGGGCTTCCACAGGGGGTGGGCAAGACAGAGGGGCAGATGAGTAGTGGGCTGGCAAATCTTTCCACCAGCTCTCTGCAGAAAAAGCTCTGATTTGTAGCATTTGCCGTTCCTATGGTGTAAATACTCCTCCTATGGCCAATTCCAAGCTACCAACATGATGTCGCTGAATGTGGAGATGGACAGAGACGTGCGGTAGCATGCTTGTACGGAGATTTTCCATGCAGAATAGTAGATGGACTATTCAAGAGCATAGATAAGTCTAGTAAATAATTAGGGAGTGCTGAGGTTTGAGTATTTGTTACATCTTTTAAATAATTTATTCAGTTGCTTGCTTATATTATATAACACAATTCTTAACGGCTGTATTTAACAACCAGCTCACAAAATTCCTGAAAATGTACCAGTTGGCTCTCAAGAGCCTGTGGGAGCTGCTCCAGTACTCCACGGGGGTCGGAGCTGCGGAAGCGACTTTTGTGTGGCTGTAGCAAAGGGAGCGAGTTCACCTCCCAGCAGTGTCTGCTGCCCCAGGGCAGCAATGTTTTGGGCTTAGCTGAACCACCCCGAGTGGCCCTCAGGGGCCTCCACTGCCGGTACACAACACACCTTCCTGGGGACCGGCCTGTCCAGTTTCACTGTGCCCCATGGCAATCAGGACACCGTGCTCCATAGGACCCAAGGCCAGCATGCCTTGGTGATCTGATTTCTGGAAGAGGCGGAGAAAT